TAAAAAAAAATCCAAACGCCGATGTGAATGCAGAAGCGATCATGAATCCCACATAACTCCAGCACGATATCTGGCAATCATGGAGGGAGGGACTGGAGCCAGCACTAAGCCTAAACGAACGACAGCTAATATTTTTTTTTAAACAGCATTTATAGAGTAAGCACAAAGTCAATTTAACCCTCGTTTACTCTAGATCAAGAGGATCCGTATGCTGACCATTGTTCCTGCACAACTGACGTCTCCTCCAGGTGCATCGAGACATTTTTTGCTACATGCTAGGGGCTATGCCTGCGAAAAGATCCGTTCAACATGCATCCAACAAGCCGCTAAGAGTTTCTGTTCAATGGTGAAGCGACTGGTGTCTGCAATCTTCACAATGAATGAAGGAATCAAATGGAAACAGAGACTAAATTAGACACCCAACGGTGTGCTTCCAATACACCTGAAAACAGAGAGAGAAATTACAGATCAAAGACGCAGAAAGGAAATTACTCATCCAGGGGTAAAGTGACTTTGTGCCCATTCTGTACAGAGCTGCAAAGGAAATAAACCAACACTCATGCGCACTCCCTCTGAAAAAGAAAAAAAAAAAAACAACAGCAAAACTGTGGGGTACACATTCATGAGCCAGGAGAAGAAAACGGGGGAAAATTATTCTCCCAGCATCCTGAAAAGTTCGGAAAAAGAGAAGAAAGGGTGACTTTTCAGCAGGTCTTTTTTTTTATTTATTTAAGGAAGTTCTCTCCGGGTTTCACACCTGAGGTAGAGGAACACCGGCCCCGTAAAAATATAAAGCGGCTAGCAAAGGCATGGTTGTGAGAACGATGAAAGCTGTGCTTGCTTCGAGTACTGCGTCTGTGAATAACCGCATTTAAACCATTTCTTTCCTCGAGCGTGAGAGAATGGATACCGATGCTGGCGTCGAAAAAGAGGGCGAGACAAGGGAAAGTAAATACTTTAAGCCTCGGGAAGAGCAGGGACAGATGCCCTCCTGTCAAAAACGCTTCCGAATGTAGGTCTTTGAATTCACAGGATGCGATTAGCACGACTCGAGGAGCTGTGTCCCAAAGCGAGCACTCCGCAGCTTAGGTGAGAAAAAGCGAAGGTATCCTACACTTTCGTGCAGTCTTCTCAGAAAATGTACGTCGAAGACGACGTGGAGCAGCAGTCACGACCTTCAAGGTGTGGTCATCGGTGCAAATTTTCGGAAGGGAGTCTCAGTAACAAGGCAGCTGAATGACGGGGAAGAGGGGAGGGGTTGCCGAGGTCTAATGGTAAAGGGCCAAGGGAGGGGGAGGTCGAGCACACCACTGATGGAGTTCACTCTCCTCCCCTCCAAAAGGGCATTGGCGCTACTGGTGTTTCGACTACAGGGACATCCACCGAAAACCGCATAATACGTCATGCGTAAGACCGGAAGAAACATTATTTTTACTGGTTTCGGTAAGTCCACGGGAAATAATGGTTTGCATTAAAAGGGAGCGTGAACTCGTCGCGAGATATTGTAGTTGACGGTGTCACATCACCTCCCGTTGACGGTTTTCTTGTCCCATTTCCTGTATTAATTCACTCCAGCTGTTCTTAAAGATATTTCCCCTCTCATTTTCATCGTATCACAAAGGAAGGCCCCTTGATGCTTGTGGGGCGTTTTTGGTCACCGTCAACACGGTAAGTTTTTCTGAATCATATTATCCTGTGGAAATAGGGCTTTCTCCGTTCTTCGCTATTCGGGGGGGGGTAGAATTAAGTTTTTTTTAGAGAGATGTCACTGCAGTATACTAGACTGCCCATACATGAGACAACAATCGCATTATGGATGAACCCAGTGTCCTCCCTGCTGTCATATCGCTGCTTGGAAGAACGAAAATTGCTGGTCATAAGAAAGCATCCGGCTTCTGAACATCTACCAGTTGAGACCAAAACCAAATGCTTCGTCGATTTTCATAACCAGAGTGGCTCTCTTGCAAGACATCGAGGAAGCAAAACATCGATCCCAAACGTTTCAGCGGGAATCATTGAGTACTTTCCATGCCTCAGACCAAGTGCATTCGAACAATTGAATGAATGTGAGTGAAAATGTGGAGGGAACTGTTGATAGATGGGAAGGCATGAAACTGCAAATCCATATGAATATGTTGACCAATTTTGCTGTAGAGAGGGGCCAACATGCATTTGTTTCGCAACAGGACTAACAGTTGATTTAAATTTTGTGTTGGTACCTCAGCCAACACCTGGTAATGGGCGAGAAAGTTCTGGTGTCATTCATTGCACAATTGGTGCAAATCTTCATCGGAATTACGCTCCTGACCATTTATTCTATCGCTGAAAATACCGAGTGATACAAAAAAACCGCGCCGCTCTTTGAAATTTTATGGCGCCTCTAAAACAGCAGCTAGAACAACGAAGTTTCATTCATACGCACCTCTATGCATCCTTCGAGCATCCGAAAAATTTTGGCCGTTTATCTCTAGCCATATTAGCGCACGACTGATTTTCCAAAAGCAACGGGAATTTTATTTTTGCACTCGCTCGTGGACGCTGACGGGAGGACCTGCCCCACTCACTTGAAGTGACAATGCTTTTCAACGGTTTTTTCCTCTGCACTTCAGAATCCGCTAAGATCTCTTACTAGTCCTTGTGTGTGGCAATTTGCAGACAGGAATTTTAATTTCCAGGATTCATCCAAAGGAAAAACGACTTCTTTCACTTTCAGTACTGGCGAGTTTTAGCCTTTCGCTCCTACGCTTCCTCTCAGACGAACCGGTTTCTCGTAGCTTATGAATCAATCTCTTCACAATAGGTCTACATTTATTTCATCCTTTGCCAGGAAATTTTGCAAAATTCCGCCCTACCCCATCCTTTCGCAAAAAGCAGCATTTTCATGGGCAAACGGAGGAGCTCTGACCCGAGATTAGTGCTCTCCACGCGTACCAACTACTCTTCGCCGATACGTTTCCTTGCGCAAAAATTAAATTCGAGTTGCCTTTGCGCTTTCGCTCCCGTGCTAAAACGGCTGGAGAAAAGCGAATAAGAATTTTAAAACGTTTAAAGGATAGATAGAAGTCGTTGAAAATCAATTTTTGCTGTGTTATCTATTATCTCATAAACTTTAATGAATCTCGAAGAACGGCGAGATTTTTGGGCCTCACCCGGTATATGACATTATCATGTTTGAGCCCGTAAATCTTTCACTCCACTAATCAAGGATGGTCTCCGCGTACACCGCATGTACTTCCCGACGTATGACATCAATGTAAGAGGAATCGATAGCCGAAAAACGGATCCTCTTCGGTCCGCTCTTTGCATGTTTCTTCTTCTGAACGTTGGAAACCGAAGCCAGACTGACCATAATCCGCATCGCGTCGTAAATCGTCCTCTTTTTGCATGTTCAGGAAGGCCTGTTGCTCCTGAATGGTCAAAGATTGACTCCTACTCTGACGCCTTGACACGTCAAAAGGGAAGAAACTGGGCTCAACCATGAAGTCATTGTTACTCCTCGTATGGGTAGTCATATGTACTACAATGATATCTCTCTAAAAATTTATTGGATGTACGATATCTGATGAATTCAGATAAATCTTGAGTCAAAGCGTGAAACGAAGAATCCAACCGAACATGGCTGCTCCCACGTCGCAGCCCTGTGCATAGGACTCAGGCGATTGAAGGCCGCCTCTAGATTACACTCTAGTCTCACTGCTGTGTACAGGCCTTCATAGGCGTCTAGTAGAGTCGTGAGCATGCATCCTGTTGCGATCATACCTGATGATCGAATATTTTGCTGTACCTCAATAAGTTAGTCAGCTAAGCATACCCGCTTCATGTACCTTAAATTTTTTAGCATTTGTATCACTGCTAGTCAAGTATTGCTCCTAGCCTACAGTTTTCGGATTGAATTCGTACCCCCCGAGGCAATGGAGAACGGAAGACGCATTACCTCCAGAGGATCAGCTTCATCGAATGATCCAAAAACCCACCTTTGAGAAGTGTCACTACCTGCAATTGATGAAAGCGCTCTTTGGGGGTTCGAGTTTAATCTCAGAACATTGTACGATGATAAATTTAAAAACAAGTACGCCTGCCATAAGCCTGATTTTCAGCCTAATCACCAACATGCAAAAGTCAGGCCATGTAGTATTGAGTATGTGAACCATTTGTGACCTGAAGGGAAACACTGACATAGCTACTTAGGTTCTACAATTCATGACATAATTATCTTACATAAAATGTATCAAAGTTATAATGTGTTAATCAGTTTTAACAGGCAATGTTATAAAGTTGTATACTGTATGTAATTTAAGGGAATATGGCCATTAAAAGTGAAACCTGGTTTCAATGGCCCATCAAGCTCAAAGGACATAGTTAATTATTACAAAACTTTTGAATAGTGGCTCCTTTATTCCATCCCAGCAAGATATGTCAAAAATGCATTAGGCCAATGGAGTATGGACACAGTGAACTAAGTTTTCTATATTTGGGCCTTGCTTTGTATGTGAGGAATAAGTTACTACACTGAATCCAGGGGCATGAAATGAGTTCAACTGAGTGCATCTGGTATCTGCTGTGTGTTGGCAGAAGCACTCATGATTGCCTAATGACATCTTCTGTCATACCCCAAAGTTTTCAGTGACAAAGGTGACAGTGACGCTAGTCATCAAGGACAATGACTAGTGTCACTGTCACCTTTCATCATGAAAGGTGGCTATTGTCTAGACCACATCTTAACTTTCATATCATATTCTACATGTTTTAAACTTTGGGATTAATGCACTTCAATATCCATCATTTGGTGGAGATTTAAATGTGTTTCATTTTTTTTTTCAAGCCCAGGAATGAGAGTGTGTTCGGTTATCTTGTTGGGAGTTGGTAAGTCTACTTCCTCAGGAGTTGCTTTCAGGGGATTGTGGAATTGTATTGATCTCAGGGCTTCAAGTCCACCTCTCTGGACACTATATTATAAAGGGAATAGTAATAGCATTTATTCTGGCAGTACCAAGCATTTGATGCCAGAATATGCTGGTGCAAGTTTCTGGCTTCCTTCATGCATTTGTGTACCATTGCCATGGAAAGAGCAGCTGAGGACATTTTGTGCTGATATACCCAAAACACTTGATGATGTGACATATGAAAAAGTTTGTAGTGAAACTCTTGATTCATTGGCAGAATATTTTGAAGATCTCATGGCACATGAAGTTAGTCCCAATGATGGAGATGTAACTTATGCTGATGGTGTGCTCACTATTGACTTTGGACAAAAATATGGCATTTATGTCATCAACAAGCAAGCACCTAACAAACAGATATGGCTATCCTCTCCAAAAAGTGGCCCTAAGCGGTATAATTATATAGATGGTGCTTGGGTTTACAAGCGTGATGGGATGATATTGCATGACCTCCTTAAGGAAGAGGTGAAAGATATTCTCAAGAGGGATGTTGACTTCTCAAGGTGTGCCTTTAGTCACAGGTCTACATGATGAGCATGAATGCATAGGGAATGCGAATTGCTATTGTGTACGACTCAGATAAGCCAAAATTGCATCAAGTGTTCCCTGTTTCAAATGAATACTTCAATAAACTGATGTTTTTTATAGTCTAAAGGCTAGTGGGTTCATTTTAGCATCATCTGCTCTTTAGAAATATTGCCAGTTGAATTATTTAGTAATGTCAGTAATGCTTTGGTAGTAATGCTTTGGTTTCCTTATCAAGGAAAAACTTTGTACATACCTGAAATGTCATATCTCCTCTGGGACTGGGGCATGTTTTGTGCTCTTGCTCCTTCAGCATTAGTGCTGATTTGAGAGTGTTAGATAAGAGTGAATTTCAATACTTATCTTCAGGGTAGAAAATCTCTCATACTTTTTTTACCTTGTTATTCATGATGTCTTTTTCCCCTCATTTCTGATTTGATTAGTTCCAATGAAGTAGGAGACAGCATTAATGATGACAAGGAAAAGAAATAGGTCAGCCTCCTCATCATCAAGATCTTCAACTTCCTCTTTTTCTTCCTCATCTGCTGGAGAAACACATAAGAGAGATTCCCGGCATCAAAGAGAAAAGAGGTCCCAATCACCATCAGGATATTGTCCTGAACTCAAAAGAAAACATAACCATGAGAGTGATAGGAGGGATAGAAGTGAGGACCTGGGAGATCAAAAGAGGCAGGACAGAGGTGAGGGCCTAGGAGACCGGAGGAGGCGAGATAGAAGTGAGGATCCAGGAGATCAAAGGAGGCAGGACAGAAGTGAGGATTCAGGAGATCGAAGGAGGCGGGACAGAAGTGAGGATCCAGGAGATCAAAGGAGGCAGGACAGAAGTGAGGATTCAGGAGATCGAAGGAGGCGGGACAGAAGTGAGGATCCAGGAGATCGAAGAAGGTGGGACAGAAGTGAGGATCCAGGAGATCGAAGAAGGCGGGACAGAAGTGAGGATCCAGGAGATCGAAGGAGGTCAGACAGACATGAGGGCATGGGAGACCAAAGGAGGCATGATAGAAGTGAGGATCTGGGAGATCGAAGGAGGTGGGACAGAAGTGAAGATCCAGGAGATCACAGGAGGCGGGACAGAAGTGAGGACCCAGGAGTTCGAAGGAGACCAGGCAGAAGTGAGGGCCTGGGAGACAGAAGGAGGCAGGATAGAAGTGAGGATCCAGGAGATCGGAGGAGGCGGGACAGAAGTGAGGATCCAGGAGATCAGAGGAGGCAGGACAGAAGTGAGGGCCTGGGAGACCGACGGAGGCAAGACAAAAAGGACAGTGAAAGCCGTCCATCTCCGAATCACTCACGGACTCATTCTCCAACTAAACCAAAGCAGGAAGTCCTAAGTGGAGAAGATGTGAGCGAAAAACATGATCACATCAGTTTAAAAAATGGAAGGGACAGAAGTGATGATGAGTTTGAGTCAAGTAATCGGCATAGCCATCATGGCTTCAAGCACAGAGAACAGCCAAGGTCAATTTGGGAGCACAGGAGACTTGAAAGGGAGAAGATAAGTGAAATGGGAGTCCTGTCTGTCTGGGTACCATCCCCATGCCCTGATGCATCTGAGTCTGACCGGTAAATCTTCCTTGAAATATCTTTTAAATACCTAGATATTTATTGGGAAAGTGCTGCTAACTCTTAAGATTTGTGACTGATGTCTGGACAGAATCAGGTGTCATAACATTTCCTGCTTAGATCTTTTTATTGTTATTGATTAGATTATCATGGAGAGAGGTTTAGGGATTCCCCATGCTTATTATTGTTCACAAATTCTCCTTTTTCATTGACATTGGTATTATGTTGGCCATGATTTTGATTCTGGTTTGTTGCTGCAAGCTTGTAGTTATTGCAATGCTTACTTTTGGGATTTTTTGTGAGGTGAAGTTTTAGTTGGTACATCAAATAAGATGAGCAAGTATTAACATTAACCCATTGGAATTTTATTTTTCCAAAAATGTTGCACCCTTGAAATGAAATGCTATGGAGCAAGCTTGATGAGATGTAGATGTCATTATTCCACTGTGTTAAGCTGAGTATTTCTTTGCATTCGAATTCCCAAAATTTGCTTTAGCATTTGTGTTTTGTCAAGGAGATATATTTTCATGCTGAACTAGATTTAGATTCATAGGTGGTCCAAATGGAGTCTGCATTCCAAACCACTGTTATGGGATTGAATCAAAAAGTACTATTTGGCCAGTTAGATCTCTTCTAGCCCACAGAAACATAATTAGTGGTTTTCAGAGCAGTGTTGTTTCTAGAGTGATCTGGGAAGAAATAAAGGCTCAGAGGAGTGGTTCTCGGTTTTCATGCCATCATGAACCAGCAAAATGTTGATAAGGGAACAATACTGGTTCATTGATTGGTGGTTGCAAAACACTAGCACAAAGTTTGCACCAGTTACTGTGCTGTTGATGTTTTCTATGATGTGCAGTTTAATGCTGTGCTTTCATTTCCAGGGAAGAGGAACCTGCACAGAAGGATGACAAGGAAGGTGAATGCTCATCATCATCATCTGAAGATGAGGAGGAGAAGAGAAAGAAGAGGAGGAAGAAAATGGTATGCTTCCCATCCTGAGCTAATTGGAAGACGTAGGCTTAGCCATAACAGCTTGGTTACTCTGATGGACATGATATTTGCCATTTTCTAGAAAAAGTTGGAGAAAAAACTCAAAAAGCTTCAAAAAGGTGAGGTAGCAGGAAAGAAGAAGAAAGACAAGAAAAAGAAAAAGAAGAAAAAGAAGAATAGAAAGAAGGAAGTGGAGACCGCATCAGGAAATGACTCAGATAATGAAGTTCAAGAGCTCAGGGAATATGTGGCTAAAAAAAGTAAGGGAATGCCCAAAGAGTGCTATTAGTGCTAAATAGGCTTAATGCTTAAAGGAAATCCAGATGTACATCTTGATCCCATGGCTTGGAATTCATTTTTTATTAGCATGCAAATAAAGAAGTTAATTAGACTCATTCCTACTAATGCCCAGATCATGCAACCAGAATTTCAGTAGGTATGAGAAATGTACTAATTCAGGATTTCCAGAAGCAACAAAATCTGGTAATAAAATGATCTGGTACTTTTGAATTCTAATGATTGGTAATTAAAAAATTGGCCAAAAAATGTTATTTTGCATGATTTCAAGCAGAACTTGCCAATTCTGATTCAGATGGATAGAAAAAGGATGAAAGGGTAGAACCAGATGTTGGTTCTACCCTTTTTGGCATCATATATTCTATCCACTTTTTACTTGGACTTGGAGCTTTTCATGCAGAAGTTTACTTGCAGTTGAAGTTAGTTTCCCAAAGGAGAATGTGAATTGCATGCTGCAAATTACTGTCACACAAAATGTCCTCCTGGCATTCCCTTAAAGCAGGGTTCAGGAAACTTTTTGACTATGTGAGCCATATTAAGATTGAGCTAAGTACTTGTGAGCAAAAGATTTTCAGAATGACAGAATTTTCCCTGAAGTTGGCAAACAGACATATGCATTCTTTAATACACGAGAAAAATGAGGAAGAACCATGATTTTCAGCCATGACTTGATGAACAAAACTTTTGGCTCATGTGCCATAGGTTCCCGACCCCTGCTTTAGAGTATGTAGTCTTTTGCTTTCATCATATGTATTTACAGAATTAAACATGGCTACCCCCTACACCATCCACCCTGAATCTGGTGTATGACATTTAGGATAAAGGAGAAAAATACTCCACATTCATGAGAATTCATCATTGGGAATCATAAATTCCCATATTCAGTCAGCTGCAAATTGAACTATCTGATGTGCAGACTAAATCAGCCAAAAATTGGCTTATCAATTCTGTCCATGCATTGATACATTCCTTGCTGAATTGTGTGACATGGTAGGTCAAGCATGGCCCCAATACACTAGCCTCAGGACTCAAGCCTATTTCATCTAGGTTAAGGAAAAATGGTTACTCTTTGCTTGAATTAACCCTTCAAATCCCACACCTAAGTATTCTCATGATAGCCTCCTGGGCTGTATCATCCCAAGCCCTACTCTGACACTTCAGAGTACTCAAGCAGCTTTGGAAACTTGGGAGTTAAAGGGTTGTCATGGCTAGGGCTTCAATGTTAACACATTGATGCTGGGAACTGTAATATTAAGTTTTTAAACCCATTGTTCTGCAGTCGCTGGGTGTGAATGTGTTAATGAATGCAGATCTCCAGCTCAAGCTGCAGAAGAGGAAGTGTATTCTGGTGTGCCTTATGAAACATTAGAACTGTGTGATGTTTTGATGTAGGAGAGACCATAGTCCTGTAGTTGACTGTAGATCTTCTACAGTGTACTAGGGCCTGGATGTATAGGGGGGAGGGAGAAAGTCAAACTGAAAACAGGACACCTTCTTGTGGGAAGAGGAATATATATAATTTTCATTGTATGCTTGTGACTTTTCAAATGAATTTCATGCTTTTAGAAGCAGAGGAGGATGAAGGAGAGGAAGTAGTTGGTCCCCAACCAAAGCAGAATGTGACCTTGACTCATAAGGACTATGGAAAAGCATTGCTTCCTGGTGAAGGTGCTGCCATGGCTGCATATGTTGCAGAGGGGAAACGTATTCCCCGAAGAGGAGAAATTGGCCTCACCTCTGAAGAAATTGCCTCTTTTGAGTCCGTTGGATATGTGATGAGTGGTAGCAGGTAAAATGCATTCAATATTGTTAGGAAATGTGTTTGTGATTATTTTTTAAAGAGTACTGCATACCAGTCATGCAACACTTGATTTCTTTAAAAAGGCATCGGCGGATGGAGGCTGTGCGTTTGAGGAAGGAGAACCAAATCTACAGTGCTGATGAGAAACGAGCCCTAGCAATGTTCAACAAAGAAGAACGACAGAAAAGGGAGAACAAGATCTTATCACAATTTCGTGAAATGATTCATCAGAAGCTTGGATCCTGAACCGATGGGTTCTTTGAAGATGGTACTATGGTCTCATTGGTTGAAACATTGCTTTTCTTTCTATCCTTCCTGCTGCTGCAACTTTTTCATTTTTGTCCAAATTTAGAGGGTTATGAAATCTGAGAGGCTTTCTTGAGGCAGGTGGTTATATTTGCATTGAGACACAATTCCCCATTATGAAACTTGCTTGCTCAAAGACAAGCTAAAATGTCAATTTCCAGCCAGCATGATTATTTTGTCACTCTTTGGCATGGAGTGACTTTTGGTTTTGCAGATCACCCATTGATTGCAGTCCTCATTCCCATCAGTGTGATTTTAATTTTCTTCTAAGGCAGTGTGAAGGGAAAAAGATGGGATGTTAATCCCTCTGGAAGAGGGAGGGAAACATGAAAGTATTATTTTGAAAATATGTTTTTGTAGATCTGCAGGCATCTATTGGAAGACTGTAAACTTGAAAACAGATCATCCTCAGTCATGTTATCTGACATTGGTTGAAAATAACTTGAGTTTCACATTACCCATCAGCAATGAAAACTTCTTGAAGAGAATGCTGTGTAAAGAAGCTCCTTAAGTGCTCAGAACATTATTAAAAATTGGTCTGGATATTTTTTTTTTTTAGAGGAGTCAGAGAAAATAAGTAGCCCATGCCATTAAACACCCTCTGTATGGTCCATTGGTCCATTGCAGTTGATGCCTTATGAGGAAACATGCAGGAATAGAATTTAGATCTCATGGTTGATGTCTATGCAGGATATAGTATGTGAGAAGTTATGCAAAGTAAATGTATCCCTCTCTCTACCTTGAATAGGGAGGTATTTTAATTAACTCATGTTGTAAGCTCATGCAGGGGGAGGAAAAGACCATTAGGCATCCTGGGACTTATTCTTCACTTTGATGAATGTAAGTCTGCATCTAATCTTAAAATTTTCCAGAAAATAAAATATTTCCTTCATCTGTACAGAATCTTAATATTATTCAAATCTGAAAGCAGTGTAAAGCAGAGTAACAAGTGGTCAATGTACATGTACAATTAACCCTGTAACTACTGTTCTGGGTGCAATGGACCCTGATATCAAAATGTAGAGCTGAATGCTGAAACCTCCTTCAGTTAATGATCATTCAAGAATCCATGGACTCCTTTGGGAGGAAAAGAGCTCTTTACCTTAAAGGTCCTATTATCTCACCCAAATGAGGTTTCAGCATTTGTGCTTTAGCCATTTTTGTAGGTTACATCATAACCTTGTGTGGTTATTAATGTGTATTTTCATGAAGAGATTTGATAGTAAAGCATTTTGAAGAAGCTCTTTGGGAATGAAGAGATGAAACAGAGTTAAATGTATGACTACAGGTTCTGGTAGTTACAGGGTTAACTGTAAGATGAAATATAGACCTATATTTTATCCATGTTTACTTTAAATTCTGTTCAGATATAGTGAAGATCTAGCCTAGAGTTTAGCCAAGGTGAGGAACAGGCCCCAGTATCTGCTGTATCCTGACTTGTCACTTCATTCAAGTCATCCCTATTGTGATGGTTATGTTATTAGCTATGCACTATTCTAATCAGTTTCCTTTTGACAAATGAAGAAATGGATCTCTTCAGTATCCTGCAAAAGAGCTCAACAGTGGTATGCTTCCCTGAATCTGGATATCTGCTGCTGAAATTGGCAATAAAGAACTTCATAACAGAGTAACAATGATCTCATCATGTTTGTATCAGATAACTATGCATTTCATGCAATGAAACTGTATTTAAATGTTTAAGTTTGGAATAACTAAGTCTTTTTCATGAATGACTTTCAAGTTGCAAAAGGGTGATTCGATGACTTTCGAATCTTGGTACCATTGCCAATGCAATCCCTATTCCCACAGATGCTGTATTGGTACTGTCACTTTGAACCTGTATAGTATTTTGAATATGTTCCCAGCCCCATTTGAGTGTTTTATTGTGGGGGGGGGGGGGGGTATGACCTAGACACCCTTGGCACCCCCTTGAAAATGTATTTTCCTCCCCTGAGGTCCCTTGTACAGATATTGGCACTCACCCTCTTAGTCCTTTCTGTTGATAACATTTTGAAATGAAACCTGATTCATATATTATCAGTGCTTCAACAAAAAATATTCCAGGTTTCTTAACCCTTTAAATACTGTGACATGCACATGCAGTCATGGTAGATGATTTAATGGACTGTACCTGCATATACACATTTTTCATATGTAACTTTTGAGCACTACCATCACATATACACAGTTGCTCTGATTTGTTATCTGTGAGATTGTAGAGTTCTACAATATGTTGACTATATAAGTCCATTTTCAGCAAAATAACTGTCTGAGAGGTGTGGCCTACTGTATTTAATGTAGTACTTGAAAGGTTAACTGTATACTGTAGTTCCAATATACCAACTTTCCTTGACATCCTTTGGATCTCCTGGTTTTATTTTTGTGTATTGAGCTGGGATTGGAGAATTTTGGTTGATGACAATGGGAGGCAGTCCAAAGCTAATGAAAGTATGATATCTTGTTCTGGTGCCATGGAGCAGAGAGGTCCATTGCTTTGAACCCTAGTGAGACTTCTGGATTCTTTGTTCATGCTCTGATTAGTTTGGTTTTGTTAACCATTTCACTGCTGAAGACTTAAATACCCATCCAACCTCTCCTTGCCTAGCATGGCAGTGGAGGTTCATCACACTGAACGTGCCATATGGCATGAACAGCAGCGAAAGGGTTAATTAAGTGATAGATAAAGTAGCAGGATTCACTTGAGGTTTCCTCTCTATTCTGAAGGTTGTTCATGAAGTATGCACATTTAATTCATTATTTAATTGCATTCATGAATTCATAGAAACATGTGCAAGGTGTTGCTTTATTTATACTCCGTGTGTGAATAAAGGACTCCAAAAAATGTGCCCAGATTTTGGTGTATTAGGCAGTCACCCATCACTAGGACCAACCCTGGTTATGCATCATTGGCTCTGCTGCTTAACCTTCCAAGTTCAAGTCAGATTATGCAAAATTAAAATATTATCAGTTTCACAAGGTGAATGAACTCCAACTAGGAGTCCCTATCTCTTTATAAGCTTGGTTTATTTATGGTTATAGCTGAAAAGACCATTTGAGCCAAATTCATTCCATATACCTTAATATAAATAATTTGGCATTATATAAATCCCACACTGACAAAGCAGAACCCTCTGGACCATATGAACAATGAGTTCACTACATCCTGGGAATAAATAAATTTTCTTTCTAACTTTGTAATCTTACTATGAACATTTTAAAATGGTCACATTTTTGGCTCACTCTGAATAAATAATTCATTGAGCCAAAAAATGTGGTTCATCTTGAAAAAAAAATCACATGGTTGAATTGGATCAAAATCATTATATTTTGATCATTGAGCAGAGTCAAACTCAAGAAAAAGTTGACAAAACAATTAAAATTTGAAATGCTTTTTTTTATGGACAGTGCTTGCCTTGGGATGTTTCTCTTCAGTTTTACTTATTTTACTTAAAATTGTGAGCTATACTTGTGCAAAGTTTTCATGTCATTTCACATCAAATTAATGTTGAATGCCTTCATTCCTTGCATAAAGGATTTTAGACGTTTTAGGTGCAGTGTTTTTTTTTTGGAAAGATTGTGAATGATGAGTGACTTGTCTGATGAAGGAGATGAAGACATCCTTGGGGGTGAGTCCTGTCTTCCTTGCTTTCTTTCACTCATTAATGATACTCTATATGCCTTTGGTATGGAAAATCTTTTGGTCTAACAGGAGGGTTCATGCTCAATGAGAGCATGGAGGAACTGGAGAGCAAGGACCAGAGTGCCAGTCATGGTGATGATAATGAGGAAGATATATCTAATGTGAGTGCAGAGCATGAACAGGATGAGAGTGCTGAGTATGAAGATGAGTATGACTCAACTCAGCCAGAGGAAAAAATGGAGCCTGATGCAAAGGAGGCAGAAGAAGCAGTGTCAGACAGTGATGAAGAGAATGAAGTCCATGATGAAAGCTTTAATGTTAATGAGGAAGGAGATGAGAAGGATGTTTCATCTCGTGGGAACAGAACACATGATGAAAGCATGAGTGCACATGAAGAAGGGGATGGGGAAGATAGTGTGTTAACTCCATCTTCTCCTGTGTTGAACGGAAGCGAGGATGACCTGGTTGATGGACAGAAACTTCAAGACGATGAAGATGCAGAAGAGAAGGGAGAAGGACAAGGGATAGAAGACAATGAGGGCAGCAGTGAGGATGATCATGATGAAGAGAGTGTCAATCATGCAGAAGGGATTAAGGATCTGGATGAAGTTGAAAGAGCAGAAGGAGACAAAGATAGAAGAGGTGATGAAGAGGAGGAAGAGAGAAGTGATAAGGGGTCAGAGAAGGAGGAGGATAGGGAATCGGAGGATGAGAGGTCTGTTGGGTCACGTGAATCATCTCCTGAGAGACCCTCTAGTGATAAGGATGGAGAAAGGTCACATGAAGAGGATGATGATGATGATGAAGAGATGACTGTTCGGAGGAAGAGGGTGAAGCGCAAGCAAGTGGGCAGCTCTGATGAAGGGAGTGAGAGTGATGATGAGAAGTCAGATGCTGATGAGGATGACAGTCCAAGAAAAAGAAAGAAGAGAAGAAGAGTGGCTAGTGGAAGCAACAGTGAGAGTGAAGATGAGGAAGGTGGTGAGAAAGACAAGCTTGTGAATGACATCTTTGGGGATTCAGATGAAGAGACTGAAAACAAAGAAGCAACAAAGGTTCTTGAACAACTCCTTTTTTAAAATTATTTCTGGCATGTTTGGGAAGATGAAACAGTTAGATTTGGATCAGGAGGAGGAGGAGAAAGAGAAAGAGAAAGAGAAGGAGGAGGAGGAGGAGAAAGAGAAGACAGAGGGAGGAGAGGCTGAAGGAGGATCTGAGGAGAAGAAAGAGATCCTTCCTGAACTGACAGACAGTAGCAGTGATGAGGGACCTAATGATCGGGAACAGATGTGAGTCCCTTTTTAAACCTAAGTGTAATTATTTTTATGATTCCTGTGCTACCATCTTGCTGTAACATGTATCCAACACACAGGGGAGACTTCGCGTCTGACTTTGACATGATGATGCAACGAAAGAAGTTAGAGCGAGGGTATCGTCGTCGTCGGAAGAACGTTGACATCATCAGTGATAGTGATGATCTCATTGCAGACCTCATGGTTGACATGCGCAATGCTGCTGAAGTCTGTTGCTTTTTGTGTTCTTGTGTGCCCTCATTAACCTTTTCATTCCAAATGTTGCCATATTCCAACAGTATGGAATCTTCCATTCCACACCTATCTGGTCCATCAATAAGTTCTCAGCCTCACCCACAAATGAAGCATGCACAAATTTTTTTTACTATCAATATTTAATATTATGAAAATCATGCTCAATGACATGCTGCCAACAATCATACAACATTCTAATGCCAGATTTGTAAAAAGGTTCTTCTTGATGTCAAACCATTCTTGCACAGTTGATTTTAATTCATGATTGTCACCAAAAGAACCTGGTATAAAAGGAAGATTCCATGCCATTTGTTGAAACGTTCAGCATGTAAAGGTTAATCCTTCAGCTAATTTCAGAATGTGACTTAAGCATCATCTGTGTGCAATGACAGGAAGATCGAGAATTAAACCTGAAGGGTGAACCAGCCATAAAGAAGTTGTCTGTCATGAAGAGAGCCCAGAATGAGTTGCTGAAAGCTGACCTTCAGCATGCATTCTTGGATTCAGGGATCTTGAATGTGTTCACAGAATGGTTGTCTCCAATGCCAGATCGCAGCCTCCCTTCGCTCAAGATCCGCACCGCTTTCCTCAAGATCCTTCAACAGGTCTCTTTATTTCTCTCTCACTCATGATAAGCCAGCAGTACTCTGTCCTTGGTTGAGTGAATGTTGACTTTGTCATGGGCAGATGACTTCTCTGTTAGAGATCTGTATCTGATAGACCAATATGACATTTGTCATGTGCCTGTGATGACCACTGATAGTAGCACAGCATTTAGTGATGACTTCAGCCCATCACTTGACTTGACAATCTTCATGAAAGTAGGTGAAGAGGAGTCTTTCAAATTAAATATATCCTGTCATTCTGCACCCTGAAAAGTTCCGTGAGAGAATTCAGTCCAACTGCATGCTTCTTTTGTTTGATATAAACCTGAAACTTAGCCTGATGCAGAGAATGATGTAAGAATTTTTATTCTGTCTCACAGTTTCCTCGGGTGGAGTCACATGCTCTGAAAGCATCAGGAATTGGGAAGGCAATCATGTACCTTTATAAGCATCCAAAGGAGACCAAGGAGAATCGAATGCGTGCAGGGAAGCTCATCAACGAATGGTCTCGACCCATCTTCAACTTGGCCACCAATTTCTCTGCTATGTCAAAAGAGGAACGAGAGCAGAGGGATTTTGAACAGCTAAATAAGGCCAAGCGCATCAGTAACGATGGTGGATCAACTCCTGCACGTCGAGAGAGCACTTCTGAAAGTGAGGACACCCCAAGGCGCCCGGGCGATCCCGGTTGGGTTTATCGAGCACGTGTCCCTCAGCCGTCCACCAAGGCCTACGTTGTCCGACCCAAGTGGAAGTCTGACATTGATATCTCCAAGGTTCTCACATCTGACTATGTACAGGGTATTACTTGATTCAACTTACAGGCTTAACCCTGTGAGGCAGGCAGTTGAATTTAGAAGTTTAACCTGAATTTAACTAAATACAATTGTTGCTAGCTGTTATAAAATTAAGTCATGTTCTTCTCTATTACAACAAAAAAGTTCAGGAAATGGAATGCTAGATGGCTCATGAAACTACTCGTGAAGGGTGGTCACAAGTTTCAACCACCGTTTCCTCAGGCTAAAAGTGCTAAATAAAAAGGTGGTTAGATGTTCTGACCACACTGACTGAAAGGATTAAAGGCTTAAATTATAATTAATACAGAAAGTAAGCAGGTGCAGTTACACAACTCACCAAATGGTCCAGCACAGCATTATGAGCAACCTGAATTTCTCATTAAATTTCAGCACTAGTCTCCCAATATTTGCCCCTTAGTTGGCTTTTGTGACACCCTGTATCTCCCCTTGTTTAATCCTTCATGACTAACACAACATGATCCAATTGCCTTCCCTTGCAGAGCACCAAGAAGGGAATGTCTCATCTAGAGAAACAACTCCAGGAGTTGAAACGCAATCGCAAGAAGCAGCAGAGGGCTGTGAAGATCAGCATAGAAGGGAACCGGATGGCCCTCTGAGTTGACGAACGTGCAGTGATCTAAATATTCTCTGTTGCTTTCTGGAACTCATGATTATTACACTGGTATAAATACCCGATTTTGTTAAATATAGAGTGTTGCCTATCTTTGAGTCTCACTCATTACATCAAGCAGAAGCATCACCAAGAACTCCAAGCATTGAACATTTTTCATGTCTGGAAAGGAATTTCATCTGATGCAGTGGTGTGAGAAAAAAAAGTGTCAGTTATAGTAGAAGAGAATTTGCTCACTTTTATTCCTTAGTTTCTGCATTTACACTTCCTTCACAAGAAAGGCTGGATTGTGGCATATGAGCAATTCTTAGTTGATTTGGGATTTGTGTGGACCCAAACAGAGCAATAAGAGTAATGCCAAGTTCAAAATTCATGAAGAGAGTTAATGTTTGGGGATATTTTGATTTTTTTATGAATAAAATCTCTCCATACTCATTCCAATGATGTTCCATGCAATAGCAGGACCAATTTGATTCCAGTTCTTGTCGTTGGTGGTCTACATAAGGCCAGTGGTCTACACACTATATTTATTGATGTTTGTCCAGTCTTTGGTAGTCTACACACAATACCTTTCAAGGTAGCGAGACACAATGAGCATGTCCATGTAACCCTCATACAAGCACTCGGCAAATGTCTTTCGATAGGTTTAAGAAAACATCAGTGTGCTGGTTAATTGAGTGCCACCAACACTCTTTCAGATGTTGTGGAAGCATGTCTTGGTGCCATGCATTTTCCTAAGAATCTTCATTTTCAATACCGACCACAGGGATTCAACTGTCGGCGCATTGGCACCAGTTATAGGATCAACAAAGTTTGTCTGGTGGTTCACAGTTTCGTGTCGATATCCATACTAGGAGCCGACCACGACTGACCTTTCCCCGGAGAAGAGCTTCATCGACTTCCATTCGTCCACCATTCCCACCCATTGACTCTCTCAAGTCAAACATGTGAACTCGCACATCTCGACACAAGATAAACCAATCATTTATGGTGTGGGTGCCACAACCCATTAACTTTGAAACAGTTACTTGTGGTGTGTCCAGTGCCCAGTAGTAGCACCGACATCTTCTGAAGGGAAAGGTGGCTATTACAGTGTCCATTCACATCTGTGAATGTAAGGAAGTCCTTCCCTTTGCGAATCGATTGGTGCGCTTGACATCCATGTCTCGTGCACCTCAATGTGTGGTATTCCTTGACGGAACCATCAGCAAGCCTCGCCTTGCGTATTGTGGATTTCACCCCACTTCCACACCTCCGGCAATTCGGTAAATCATCCACACTCAGCCCATGCTCACGCAAGAATGCAACACGGCTCTCTTCCGTAGCAATCACGGAGTAAAACTCAGCAGCCTTCATGATGAAGATGGAATGAGAATATGTAATTTCATAAATTATGTTTTCATAATTTATAGGTTAAGTCTTTCCCTTGATGACTATCCCTGACACTCAGAGGATTAAGAGATTATCACTACCTGGTGTACTTGGAATTAATCCTTTTTCTGGAATTGTCAGGGAGGCGTGGTGTCAACAAGGATAAGGTTCATGTCGAGATAGGCCATGTCAAGATAAGGTGAATTCAAGTCAGGACTCCAAATATTTTTTAAATGTTATCAGAGAACATCAACTTTTTTTTTTACATGTTTTGGTGCGTAGACCACCAATAGCCAGAGAAACATCAATGTAGACCACCAACGACAAGAATGCCGTTCTTTTGAACTTGGCGTTGGAATTTGGTGCTCCTTCACAAAAAAAAAGTTTATTTCATGCGTATAGCCAGAATAAAATTCACGAAATCATTATGGATTGATATCTAGCTACTCAGCATCCATTTAAATATTTTTAATATGTATTTTCTATACACGATATCTCGTTCAGTCGGTTGACAGCTAGGTGGGGTGGACTCGAGTCATTCCGGTAAAATCGTTGTCAAACCGAAACTAGTGCCATTGTGCGTATTTCTCTTCGTTGGTTCGAGGACATTTTGAATTGAGAATTTTCTTCAAATTCTCTCAAAGACACAGGGGGAAAAGGGAGAGCGTCTCGCAGATTTCGGCTCAGATTCCTCTGTTGTGGTCATCATCCAAGCCATAGTTGACCCATCCGCATCAAGTGACTTTTCGGTCTATCTGGCCTAGAATTATGCAACCTTACCGAGACCTTGCCTTACCCCGACGCGCGAGGCCTACAAGCCTATGCCTTTGCAGGTCGTGGGCTAGGTGGAAGGACATGGGACGATGCGAGGATCTGAGGACTCGAACCGGAGCGATCAACTGGTGAAAAGCAAGATCAGTGCATTGAAACAGAGCACGATGACAGTGAGTCTGATCCCACAGCCCACGGTTAATAGCAGAATCCTCGGCTCAGGTTGTAAACCAATAATTTCGGTCCAGTTCTAGTGTTGCCCAATATATGTAAGTAAATCTGTGGGTTTCGACCAATGACCATCGTCCGGACCATCTCGTCTCTGGCTCGGCCTAGGTGGATGGGCAGACCCTCCCTGAACAAAAAAAAAAAAAACTGCGGATTCCTGAGTTTCAGACTCCGCCCTACCCATCCCGCACCCCAACATTTTTGTATCGATTTTTCTGGAATGACTTGTCCCCCTTCCACCTAGCAAAATCGACGATTTTCCTTCGATTGAGTCAGATATCGCGTGTTAAGAATCTTAATCATGAGAGGACTCTGGTGTGTAGGTATGTTTCGTCCTCTTTTTGCTACCTAGACTAAAAATATAAATTATGTCATTCACATCTAATTGCTCTTGTCAAAGGTGAATACCCTGAGCTGGTGAGTGATACAATTAATGGAATTAATCGTATTGCTGTTTTTCTTTATTCCCCGTAAAACTTGAACATGGACTAGAAAAGGACATCCCAAAAGGATCAAAGACGATCAAAAGCCCCTGATGAAAATTTCTGTCAAATATCGAAATACAAGGAAGAATCCGAGGAGGGAGACACGGGAATGTGGGATTTGGATCTGACGATTATTTCTTGGCTTCGGCTTCCCGTTGAGCTTTCTTGTCTTTGGCATGTTTGTGCATGCATTTCATGCTCTCCAAGAGAATCCACCGACAGACTTCGTTGAAGAGCTTCCCGGGGACAAGAGCGGGCATTTTGTAGTCCATGTTCATCATCCAGGCAAAATTAGTCTTCGTCTTGTCTTCCTCGACTGGCCACACGGCCTGACAGCACTCGAAACTCTCACTCCTGCGTCATATCGTACGACAGATAAAGACGAGAGTCTATGGGTGCAATTTAGGAACCTGTAGTACTTGATGCTGGTTACCTGACGACGGACTTGAGGGGCGGGACTTCGTCGAGTTGAACGGTTTTATAAGCAAATATCCCCACGCCGTCCTTCCACCCAAACTTCCTCAAATTAGCTTGATCTCTGCTTGATATTATGGCACTGAACTCGTGTGTGGCCGAATAAAAGATGATCGTGGTGTCATCCAGCTTCTGCACGGCCGAAGATGAAGAAAAGAATCGTGACTCACAATCAAAACGATGCGAACGTAATCTTCGGACTCGTTTACCTGGAGGCAATGGAGTTTTTTCAGAGTTGTGTTCCATGTAGGGATTTCGTGCATCTTCTCAGGACTCAGGTCGTCTATCATTTCCTCTATCGCAGCATCCACCACCCCCTATTTTTTTAAACCATTCTATTCCTTTATCACTCCACGTAATGATCGTGGTCATTTCGAGACGGGGGGAGTGATCACCTGGAGCTTGAAGATGGTGCGATTGTTGTGCTTCTTGCTGTAGACTTTGGCATCTTCTTTATCCTTGTCCAGATGCCAGCCATCTGAGAAAAACAACTCTGCGGTGCTCTCGAACAGTCCCCCCGTTTCTGCCAGCAACTCCTTCTCCTGCATTCCCCCCCAAAAATATTGCCTTTGTCTACAGTTCTAACTCGAAGTTTATTTTTGTTGCAGACTAGGTCCCTAAATCTGGGATTTTCAAAGGGGATTGTTAACTCTCGTTTTCACATCAATTCTCCAGCATGGCAAAAATGCTACAATGTCTCTGAGCCGACTTGAAGTAACTTCAACTCTAGTCCCTAATGGAATCACCGGTACCGATCTATATGGAGCCGAGAAATTTCCGTCTACTTTTGGGAATATTCCTCCACCACAGTTTTCTCAGAGGTGCAAAGGTACCAACAAATGCTTAATTCCGTGTGTTCGTATTAGCTGGTGATCTGGATATCAGTGAATGTTAACTTAGGGTATGGGGAATGAGTTTGGGGTGTCAACTTGTGAAACCAGAGCTGGAACTTGGAATTCTACCTTTAATCATCAGTGAAGACTACCGTTGTTCCGAGCCGGATTCCCTAAGAATTCCTCATACATTCTCATATTTCCCTATCTTTTGAAGATGTGGGGACTTGAACCTAATTTTCATCAAATAATTGATAGTCTTCGCATTCGTTTTCACTCAGTTACTCAAATATATACAGTATGTTCCATTCCTTTTTCTTGATTGTTGTCATCCAAACAATAACATACGTATTGCCATTACAGCTGCAAGACGCATATAATTGAACATTCTTTGGCTTTTCGAATCTTATGCTTATCATGCAATAGAATGATGAGCAATTAAGGTGAAAGCAGAGAACATCTTTAGGAAACTAATTTTAAATGTTACTCTGCCTCTAATGTTTTCCACAATTTATTAATATTGTCATTGCGTCAGGACAAGAATCCAACAAAGCCATGTACAGAAATAAGTTGAAATGTTGGACATTCACTTTTTTTTAGTTTTGGAAAGAAAGGAGCCCCAGATGACATAATGTTGCTTCCCTTCCATTAAATTGACGTAGGAACCAATTGTTACAGGTTGGGCTCGGGGTCCTTTTGTAAAGAAGTTCAATGGCGTTACTTTTCCCTACTAAATTAGAGTGAATTAGAAAAATATTGACTTATATTAGCAATTATATTGAAGATGCATCGGATCAAATTACAGTTGGCATAAAATAAGTCAAAATTACTTTTGTAATAGAGCAAAACGAATCTGTTTCCGTAAATACGAATATTTTCCTGATCAGTTCCTTGTTATGGCAGATCCTTGTTCTCATCGCGTGCAGCAGACAAGGAAAAAGGGAGGTGGTTATCTACGAAGGTCGTGTCGGAGGTCATACAGTCTAATTTTTGTTAGACCAATAAAATTGTTCATGGGATACATACCTATGTGCAGTGGCGTACTCGAAGGGAGAGGGGGGGGGGCCTCAGAGAGCGGAAGCCCCCTTTCCCTTTCGTACGCCACTGCCTATGTAAAACATAGTCGTTCCACTTGGAGTTTCAGTGGTGTGGCAACCGCATCATCCATGAGCACTCGCATGGCGATTGATGCCTGCCGCCACCCTATTTGCTGCGACGCCAGATATCGTGGAGTGCCTGGAACTGATGACCACGGAAGGGTCTTTCAGCTTTGGAATCGTGCCTAAGTCGCGAGGGCTCCGATCGGGGGAGTGTGGGATGTTCCGTCACCTCCCAGTCCCATCCTGCATGGGACTTGCTCGCAGAACGTGGGGTATGGCATATCGCGTTGTGCCGTTTCAAACGGTTTTCGCGATCGGTTAGACTGTTGCTCTCGTGCAGCTTTCTATCTCACTCACTCACGCTCTCGATCTCTCTTTCTCACCTTAGCTGGGGATACAGTGATGCTCTGTGGCTCGGCCATCCTTCTGCAATAGAAGCAACATTTTCTTAAGTAGAAGAGCTGAACAAAAATGCAACTATTCATGACTGTTTATCACTTTTTTATTTTTACGAGAAATAAGAGGGGGGGGGGAACCAGTCAATTGTAATGGTGGACTTTCCATCTTCCAAACTGGCAATGCTTGAAAAAACCTTTGCATTGTGGGAAATTTTCATTTCCAGCTTTGCAAACCCGATAAAGCTTTTTATCACAGCCTTATCACAACTGGATGCCAGAAGGAAGCAGCCCGTTGTGAACCCTGACCTCATCCTCTTGGGTTAACTGAGAACGACGGGGTGACGAAAGGTCTCTACTGTCATCACGATGACACGTGTATTCTACAATCTGCATTCGTTCTCCGAACGAAAGCAGAAAACTCTCCGGACGTTTACCTGACGGAGTTAAATAATTTCGGCGGTAAATAATTTGCAGCGTGCCGATTGATGCTGATCTCGTGAAAGTCGATGGATCTAGACGTGGGAGAGGCTAATGAGCGTGGGAAGCGTGGTAGCAAATGCTCTCCAACTTTTCCGGGTGCAAGTACTCAAGTACTTTTCCAGGTGCAAGTACAAGTTTTCCAGGAGTACTTTACGCTATTTTACTCCTGCATTCTTTTTTCCCGTTAATGTCTATCTCTGGCGGAAAATGTTGCATGGTCTCCGTAGAAAGGGTGAAAATGACCCCACGATCTTTGATGCTGGCTGTGGGTCATTGCAAGAATACGAGACTTCGACCGGATCGCCTCTCGGCCAACGAAATGCCCCACACCGCCGATCCAGGCCATTTGTCGCCCTAACAGGATGCGAATGGTCTTGATTTATATGAGAAATCCATTGCATTTGACAGTCTTTATCTTGGTTGTGACCTTCATCGAAGCAATAAAAATAGCTGAGCAGTACCGTCGGTCAAAGTCAATGCCAGTGGATAAAGACACAAGCAGCATCCGGAATTAGCTAAGGATCGGCGTAAGTTAAGCATCCATCCTCTTGGACGGATGCTTAACTTACGTTATCGATCCTCTATATCGATATCGTAATCGATCCTCTTGGATCACAGTTTGGGCACCCCTGCACTACGGGTTTCCGATCTTCATTTTTTCATTGCATGACTCGAATTTCCCATCATCTCTTTATTTGTAAACGTTTGCTATGATTCTCTGAGAAATCAAACCGTTTTTAGACATTTGCCAATTCGCTCGGGGATGGGCTGCCCGCTGTGCCACCGTGCTCAAATGCGATTTAAAGTCACCCGAAACTCGTGTGAGCTTTCGTCGCACGAGACGGCTGACGGGAGCTGTTGCACAAGATTTCTCTATTTGTACCCGAGATAACTCGTATCTGTCCTCGAGTGGAACCTGAAACCCTGTCATGGGAACATGGGGCTCTCATAGATACTGCAATCCGAAACCCTCCAAAAAGGAAAAAAAAAAACACTGCATGTTTGGCCTGACGCCCCAAAGGCAAAGGAAGGGGGAGATGCCCCCCGCAAGGCTATAAGATCCTTGCGGGGGGCAAGGATAAAAGATATTGAAGGTGCATGGAGTGGGCCGAGAAGGGGATCCTCATTCCCACTTCACTCCCTCCGCCTGGTCCTAGTCGTCTAACTTCGCATTGGATTAGGTTTATCTGTCGGGGAAAGGAGGAAGTTGCAGTAAAATCTGTTGCAAGTCTTGGTATTTCGGCGGAAAGTTCTCTTCCGAGGAGAGCGGGAACAGCGTAAATTGCCGAGGCCATCACATGGTAGTAAGGGACATCGACCACATCAGGTTAACGATCTCCGTGAATTCAATCTCTACAGTTATCAGAAACGCACTTGGGATCGTGCTGCGACGCGACAACGACCGGCTGAAGTAATTTGCGACTAGATAGACCCTGAGTTTGCTCGAACCTCTCATGTTTTGCTGTTCTGAGTGGCATCGACAAAGCTCTCGAACCGAATGTGGAAAAACCTCGAGGTTTCTTTGAAAGTTTTATTTGGTGATGGGACAGATGTTCCAGTCAGAACGAAAGACTGTACCCGAGAGATAAAAAGTGGCACGAGTGGCTGCTCTCCTGCTTCGCGAGTGCCTTCCCAGAAGGCTGAGGACGGGAAGACCCGATTGCACTGCTTCGCCCGGTCGTGTTCCGCGTCCCACCGCGGAGATGGATGTTCCAGGCTTTCCATGGAGACATGAGGATTGATTGCTTTCAAATTCTAACATTATGAAAGAGGTTGTTTTTTTTTTTATATAACGTTCGCCGGTTCCCCATCTTCAAATGCCCACATTTACGCTTTTATATCCATCTTCTTTCGCAACTCTTGGGCGCATATCCTGGACTCCATCCCTTCCCTTCCCCGCCCTTCGGTAGTTAACCAGGTACTTAGGAATACCACGGAATCCAAGTCGGTGTTCTGTCACTCCGCTATGGGAATGGATGGATATATAACTCATAGGTACGGTTGCTAAAGCTTTAAAGCAGTGGTGCACAACCTTTTCCCCCTAGAGGGCCAAATTGAGATTTGAGCCGAAAAATAGGCTGCATATAAATATGTATCTCTAGAGACCGGAGGCATAAAAGGTGTAGCGGGCCGCAGGTTGGGCATCACTGCTTTAGAGGGTTCGTGAAGTACAGGGTGACGCAAAAATCGTGCACCATAGGGTATATTACTGTAAATTTTGGAATTGTTGGCCATTTACATGAAAGCACTTTTTCATCGCTGTACACACGATGTTTGAAATTGTAACTTTTTTTTTACTTCACTCTCGCGCCTTTTCACAATTTTGCAGCCATCACTTACCTGGAAAGAAAGAAACAAGAATAAATGGAGTGCATCAGTGAAATCCTATAAGGTGCGCGACTTTTGCGCCACCCCGTATATGCCAATGTGGCTAAAAGCTTGCCGGCAGAAGGATGGCTCTTGGGGGGAAAATCCGACGAGATCTGCTGGATTCAAATCTTCATTCGAGACGGATGGCAGATTTCACGTTCGACTTCTGATCGCGAAAGAACTACCTCGTAAGGAGTTTCTGAGAGTTCATACCATTTTTACTCGCCTTACGGCGATTTCCTTTTCTGCCTTATTTCTTTGAACGATCTTTAATGCAGTAGTACGTCGAGCGGCGACTCGTACGCGTGACATCAGGAACACGAGTAGCTCCAGCGACTGGAAGAAAATACTGATTCCCCCCCCCCCC